TGTCACTGCTGCTCATGACCCATTGGCCAGAACTACTTGCACATGGCAGCCTCCTCCACACCAGGTGCAGTCAAGTCCTATCAAGGTCAAATTCTATCAGGTGCCAGCTGGGGGAGGACTGGAAACATTTGGTGAGCCGCACAAGTGATTACGCAGGTGAAAATAAACAACGTCATGACTAATTTTTGGAGTAGTTCCACGTGTGGTCCTCAGTACAAAAGGAGAGTATCTGGTGCAGATTCTTACTACTCCATAAGGTGGTAGTCGTGCTTAGTACCATCATCATTAATCATGGTACTCGTGCTTAGTACCATCATCATTAATAATACTAAGAAGGCAAATTCACAGCAAGCAACGTCCGTAAGAGAATCCAGGACCTTTTTCCCCCTTATCATTTAGCCTCCTTGAAAGGGAGCAGGAGAACTTAACTTGCTAAAGGCTAATAAATTCCAAACTTCTCATTGGCTGGTTTTTCAGCCAGCTAGCCATCCAGCCAGCCTGCCAGCTCTTTCTAGAATCTCATCACCTTTTTATTGAGTCAGCTCATTTTCACTGAGTCAGGAAGAAGATGTGGAAGCCATCCAGAGAACTTAAGAAAAGCAGGAGTTAGATAGAGGACGGTGAAGCTTTTGAGAAATGGGGTAATGAAATAAAACATTTGATTAAACAGCATTTCAAAATTATTCTTGACTCAACATTTTGGAGGAGTCAGAAAAGACATCATAGCTGAGGTGACATTTAAGCTGGCACTTGAAGGCGTTTGCTAGGTAGAAAATGGAGTAGGGCATCCAAGCAGAGGGAACAGGCTGTGCAGTGGCAGGGAAACTGCTTGGGTGTGGTGTGTCTGCCGGAGACCAGGATGCCTGTCAGGACTCCTGTTAAAGCACCAGCACAGGACCACAAATGTTACTGTAGTTTTCATTTGTTAGCAAGTGGGGGATGGAATATCCTATTTGTCAGGGAAAATTTTTATTGAGTCTTACCTTGTGCTCCAACAGTAGTTAATATGACTTCAAAGAGAAAAGATGGCAAGTAATTTGTTACCTGGACTGCTATGGGCAAATGAGTTTCTAGAAATGAAACTCATTTGTTTACTGACAATTTTTAAGTCATATGTATATTTGATATATCCACAGCAATTTTCTTTGGGAAAAGCAAATGGTCTACTAGACTGCAAACAGATTAAGACAAAATCACCAGGTTATTAAAACACACCCTGCAGAAGGGTGGGCACATTATGATGTGATTTTAAATGAAATGCATTTGTTAGGAGGAGGGTGATGGGGAGAAGAAAAACAAGGAGCATGACACGTGACATATTTATCCTAACACACTTTGTGGAGTGGATATTATCACTATTTCATCAGTGGGGAAACTATTTCTTACAAAATTAGCTTGTTTAAATCTGAGTCTTTTTTTAATTCTCTGAGACGTTGTTCTTCTGTTAAATGGAGATAGGCTGTGCATCACCCACCTCAGAGGAGGACCACAGGAAATAAATGTTTTCGCATCATTCACAACCTTTATCAAATTTTAAGTTTTATGATTCTGTCTTGATGTTTGCCTATTATCCAAAATGGGCAGGTTCTTCACAAAAGAGACTTTATGTAAATAAAACGAAAGAGGCTTTACAAAAGAGACTACGTGGAGAAAGTCTTTGCCTAGCATATCTTACTACTTTATACAATTTCTAAATAATTAAAAATGTTATATCTATATACACCTTTCTTTTAAATTTTATTTTATTTTGCAGGTTTTTTTTTTTTTTTTGGCTGGGACTGGGTTTGAACCCACTACCTCTGGTATAGGGGGCCAGTGCCCTAGTCTTTGAGCCACAGGAGCCACCCTAAATACACCCTTTTTTGATACATAAATTCTGTGGGCAGTATTTCAAATCCATCCAAGAAATATTTCAGGAAAATGAATTGTATTCCTTTAAACACCTTTGGTTCTTCTCTTGGCATTTTAAATATATATTTTTTTGTAAATGTATCCCTCCCTTTCTTTTTAAACAAAGTGTACCAAATAATGATGTTACATGCTAAGCACTGTTCTAAAGGATTGATATGTATTAATTTATTTAATCCTTAAACTATTCTATCAGGTAAATACTATCGTTACTTCCATTTTCCAAATGAGAAAATTGAGCCACAGAAATTTTAAAGTGACTTCCCCTAAGATCACATATCTAATAAGCAACCAATCCAAGAGTTGAATTGAGGTCTTTTGGCTCCAGAATCTGAACCCTAAACATTGAACCATGATGCATTAGTGAAGAAAATATGCCATCTTCCTAAATGAATCATGGCTATTATTATGTATATCCATTCTTATTTGCTCTCTGTGAGAACTACTATGTTTTAGTATAGGACTGCATACCTACAATATAGGGATATCCCTATCTATTATACTTTTACTGTGTCTGCTTTTTATATTTTTCTTTGTCCCCCCCCGAAAAAATTTATTTTCAGTATAATTACCTCTACAAATTATCTTCTTTCTTCTAATTGTTCTGCTTCCATTTGCCAAGGATCAGAAACCATATTACCCCACATGTTAGAACTGTGTCTAAAGTAGGAGTCATGAGGCCCTGAGAGAAGACCCAAGCCTTTCGTGAATGGACTCTGTGACATCTGTGACTGGGACCTTTATTTTTTGGCATGCTTTCTGTTCTCAACTGTGATCCAGATAGTTTAGATGGCTGGATGAGTGACTTCTCAATAAGCAAGGTGTCACAAAATATAAACTCAAGGCATTTCTATTCCACCTGTTCAAAAGTGTTTTAGTCATCCTCATGATTGGAAAGGATGGCCCAGTTCCTCAAGCTTCTAGGTAGCCATCTGATGCTTGGAAGTAGAGAGACGTGGCTACAACTAGTATAAAAATAGCCCTTCCAGATGGCTGAGGGGCAAAGTTACAACTCAGCAGCTTGATATAGCTGAGCACTCAAATTTGGAGTAGGAGGAGAGCTATGTGAGAAGTAGCCAGAGAGGCTGGGCTTGAGTCCAATCATAAGTAGAACAGTATACCCCAAGAGGGATCACTTAACGTGGCAAGATTAGCTGTTAAGATTTTCTGTGGCTTCATCTCCATCTCATTCCCACCTCCCTTGATTCAACCTCCCCTCTGGCCCTAAGGGAACATACATGCACGTGCACACTCACACAATTTTTTAGAAGTATATAAAAAGAGGTAAAAGCCATAACCTTGAAAGGTTTTAGAACTCTGTGAGTCTCATTCCCTGTTTTAGAGGCACACAAATAGAGACAGAGAAAGGTGTGATTACTTAGATTCAACCAGTGTAAGTGGGACTCATACACACCAGCTTCTCAGCCAGGCTCATCTTCCCGCTCCTCCGTGGGGTTTGAGGGTGGTGAGCAGTTACACCAGGCCACATTTCCTCCAGGCCTGCCTTGAGTCATTTCCAGCTCTAAATGAAGGCTCTGGTTTTAAAAAAAAAAAGTGTGGAATATTGCAAAAGCCATGATATTGCTACCATCCTCCAAGCAAATACTAAGGCTCTGATAGATGAGTCACTGGCTTGAAACCTCTTGTTTCGCCAATGAAAATATTTACTAACTAAATGCTTAAATAGATTAAAATGTGTAGTTCTCCCTTTTTTTTTTAAACCTCCTATTGCTCTGCATTTTGATTAGATATTTGGGGAGAAAATTTAAGCCTATGTAGTAAATATAATGTTTTAAATATCTTAATGTGCATTCAAACAATTGAGTGTTGGCTTTTAAGTAGGAATGGGTTAGTGCTTATGTTTGTAATAGATATTTGTGATAGACAAATGTAATGTAATAGGCAGTTGTAATAGACATTTTGGAAAAGCAAGCTAATTGAGAAACGTTCTGCCTTCTTTTAACATCATTTACGTTTAGCCCAAAGGCAAGGCATTGCTGTTCCCTGCTGGCAGTAGGGCCTCATTGCAGATAAGCTTCTTGTAGTTGGAAAGGCTTTTGAGCGCCAGCCTTCCAAATTCAATTCTCAGTTATTCAGAGACAATAAACTGACTCTTTAAAATACACGCTTATAATCTTGATTCATTTTATGCAAAAAACCCAAAATATTTGTACCCTCTAATTTTCTGAAATAGAAATATGGCATTTAATTAAAAAAGTACTCCCATTAATTTTGCATATTCTTTCTTACCTGGTTCATAGGTAGCAAGCCCCTCCACCCTCACACAAATTCCCAACTATTTCCAACACAATAGGATTTGTGTTGCCTAAGTGAATGTTATTGGAGAGCAGTTATTTTAAAGAGGAAGCTTTCTTTCCTTCTTCTGGAATTTATCCTTAAACTGTATGGAGTGCAGGCTTTGTGCCAAGTGCCCTGGGAACAGGCAAGGAGGTCTCAATCCTGGGATACACGTGCTATTACAGCACCATGCTGTCCTACTACTGAGCTACAGAGCTGATCAATGGGGGAGGAGGAATGGAGTGAGGATAGGGACAAGCATGTTTGGATTGCCAACCAAGTACTTGGGCCTGTGCTAACCCTCTTAGACTTGGCTGGAGAATCTTGCTAAACAGTCAGACTTGATCCATGAATAAGCATGCTAATTCTACTCCATGTAGATCCCCCTCACCCTGGAACAAACCTGAGCAGAGCTGGCCTGAAGCAGAGGTCCACCTGCTAGATAGCTGCTGCCCTAATTAAGAGCACAAGCCAGGGCTGGGCATGGTGGCTCACATCCATAATCCTAGCACTCTGGGAGGCTGAGGCAGGAGGACCCCTTGAGGATAGGAGTTCAAGATGGCCCTGAGCAAGAGTGAGATTCTGTCTCTATAAAAAAATAGGAAAATTGGCTGGGCTTGGTGTTGTGTGCCAGTAGTCCCAGCTACTTGGGTGGCAGAGGCAGGGGGATCACATTTGTTGAGTGCAGGAGTTTGAAGTGGCAGTGAGCAATGATGATGCCATTGCACTGTTGGGGAAATGGAGCAAGACTGTAAAAAAAAAAAAAAAAAAAAAGAATGCAAGTCAGGGGCATAATTTTCAATACCTTTATTAAGAAATATCAAAAGTTGCTTATAGGTCCATACACAGTTTTACAAAGTTCAAGTGAAGAAGAATGTAGGGATGCCTACATGTGCATCTTTGAACACTATGGGAGAGTGCCACAGGGTAACCCTACAACTCTTATCACTTTAATAGTGGTCCACAACGCTGCTTTGTCCCCATTTCTAGTAGACCATTGCACAATACCTTAAGTTACTTTGAAGAGCTTTAGGACATTATAAATACTTAAGCATTTGTCTGTCATTATCATTCCCTGAAAAAGCAGAGGTGGTTACAGGAAGCACAACATTTGAGTCCCATTGACTGCTGTTTGTATTACATTTTCACAAAGCCTGCTTTGAGAACTGGCAAACATTGCAAGTTATATGTCACCGTATTACACATGGGAGGACCCATACACATTGTTATTTTTAAATGGAACACTAAACAGAAAAGGAGCAATCACTCAACTTGGAAACAAAACACAGAGCCAGTGGAACTCTCAAGAACAGGACAAGCCTACAAGTTCCACTGAGTTCTGGTCACAAGTGGTCAACAGCATGACCGAGCACGACTGGATGCAGGAGCACCAGCACGGAATACAGAAAGAGGGTATTTCCAGGAGTGGTACATCACGAGCTTCATGTCAGGGATATTGTATCAGAGGGGAATTACACTTTCAAATTAATCAGGGCTAGTGGGTCATCAGTACCACAAGGGAAACAGCAACGGTGTGGCATGCCTTGGTTAAGGCTTGTGCTGGTTTGTCTAAGAGTAGATTTCGGAGGTGATTGTCCAGCCACATGAGAAAGAGCCATCTTCAGAGGAAGGACTCCTTGTTCACCCACATCAGACTGCGTGTCTCGTTGGGTTTGCATTCATACTCAATGACAGAGAAGGGGCTTCCCCACTGGCAGTGATCTCGCTTGTGGTAATTGTAGAACTTGACTTGCCACATGGTCTCAAACGTCCCAATGTCAGTGAACTAAGAGAAGAGAAACATGCCCGTAAAAACCTCATTCTGCCATGAAGTCGATGAGCGCTAACATTAGTGACAGAGCCCCTAGGGAACTAGGGTGTAACCAGCCAAGGCTCTCTTGGTCTGCAAAGCAGAGAAGCCTTTTCTGTAGGGGTCTACTGTTTTTATTATAGGAGATATTTTCCTGGAAAGCTGTCGGTAAACATTCTTCTCTATAAAATCTTATTCCCACAGGATGAGTGATATTTGCATATTTGCTATGTATTGCTTTTAATAAAAACAGCTGAGTTTTATCTTGTTTTTCCAGTTTAATTTACTAAAAACCACCCTTAGAATGTCAGAATTTTAAAGCTTCCCCTAACAAAGCCTTTGCCACAGAAGGGGGACTGGGAAAGAGGAGGAATGTTTACTGTTTTTTCATTTTTACTTCGAAAGACACCAGTACAAAATAACATATGTATAATGGATCTATATTAGATATAATTCCCTTCTGCCATTAGCTTAGATTATACAATATCCAAAACAATATTTGAGTATCCACTATGGACCTTGCGCATATAAAAATTTGCATAAGGCATGATTCTTGCTCTGGTGAAGTCTGGATTCTTCTTGCAGAAGGTAGGCCCCGTGAATCACTGCACAGAACTCTCTTGAACTATAAGGACGAATTTCTCTTCAGGCAAGGAGAGGGCATAGAATACCCTAGAGGCTACTGGGCAGATGCTCAAGTGGCCTGTGGGGTAGCCTGACCCTGCTACTGCCTTCTGAAGCTATTTAGGGGATCTGGCATTAAACAGCATGATGCCTGTCGTTATTTTCTCCTCTGACCCTCCTGTCATGGGAGGGGACAGGGACTGACTTGGCAGGATTCTTAGACTTGTTAGGAGCCAGAAGACACGGAGGAGGGAGGGCAGCAAGTGGTAAGAGTCTTATGCTTCTTGCTGATACAGGGATCAGGTGCTTCCCAGATAGCTTTCCAAGACACTTGCAAAATTATATCCTGCACTATTGCCTCATCCTGCTGATTTGATCCCAAAATAAGATCTGGGCTTTCCTCTGGAAAATTTGCTTAACTTGAAACAGTGGGTAATATACCTAGAGTTCACAAACTTCCAAGCTAAGAAAATGATCCATTGTACATATGTTATTTTGTACCAGTCTTTCAAATCATTTTAGGGAGTCACAGCTTAGAGATCTACACAAGCATCCAGCAGCTTTATTCAAAATAGCCTCACATGGGGGTCAATCCAAATGTTAACTCATTCACCTGAGTTAGACAAGATTTGGTGTATTTATAAAATGACATTCTGTTCACTAACAAAGAAGGGTGTGCTGATTCAGGCAACAGCAGGAATGGATCTCAAAGACATGCTAAGCATAAGAATCTAGACCCCAAAGAATACATATTGTATGACTCCATTTATATAAAACTTCATATAATGATAGGATATAATCTATACCAACAGGAAATAACTGGGGTCTGAGATATTTCTCAGGTGAGAAGAGAGGATTGACACAAATGTACAAAAGGGAAATTTTGGGGATAAGGGAAGCATTTCTTATCTTGACTGTGGTGGTGCTTATATGGGTACATGTACATGTTGATTAAAGCTCATTCAACTAAATGTTTAAAATGGGTGCATTTATTACATGTAAATTGTGCCTCCAAGTTGATTTAAAAAAATACAAATATCCCATTTTCAGTGAGCTACAGGATACAGGTATTTTAAACATTGCCAATGGGAAATGAATTTTACAGCCTTTTGAAAAGGTAACTTGGGCTCGGCGCCTATAGCTCAACCGGCTAAGGCGCCAGCCACGTACACCTAAGGTGGCAGGTTCGAATCCCCAGCCCGGACCCGCCAAACAACAATGACGGCTGCAACCAAAAAATAGCCAGGCGTTGTGGCGGGCGCCTGTGGTCCCAGCTACTTGGGAGGTAGAGGCAGGAGACTCGCTTGAGCCCAGGAGTTGGAGGTTGCTGTGAGCTGTAATGCCATAGCACTCTACCCAGGGGGACAGCTTGAGGCTCTGTCTCAAAAAAAAAAAAAAAAAAAAAAAAAAGAAAAGATAACTTGTAGTAAGTTAAAGGTAAAAGTACACCCTTGGGTCCAGCAATTCTACTTATAATTTATCTTAAGAATATCATAATGTTTATAGTAGTAAAAAATTGAACACTAAATGTCCATCTTTAAAGCATTTATTATGGCATATCTCTATAATAGAATATAATGTAATAAATTTAAATGTAATATATTTAATAACATTTTTCTATTATTTTATATTGTTACATAAACTAAGCAGAGTACCATCAAGAAGGTGTAGTATTAATCCAATTAAAATTATATTTGTTACTGCTGGACACTTTGATGGACTACATTTTATTTTCTTGTATGTGCTTATTTGTATTTTCTTCTTTTTTTTTTTTTTTTTTTTTTTGAGGCAGAGACTCATATGTCATCCTCTGTAGCGTGCCACAGCATCACATCTCATAGCAACCTCCAACTCTTGGGCTTAAGCGAGTCTCTTGCCTCAGCCTCCCAAGTAGCTGAGACTACAGGGAGTTGCCACAATGCCTGGCTATTTTTTGGTTCCAGTTGTCATTGTTGTTTAGCAGGCCTGGGCTGGGTTCGAACTCGCCAGCCTCAGTGTATGTGGCTGGCACTCTACTCACTGAGCTATGAGCGCTGAGCCAGCTTATTTGTATTTTCAAAATTTAATGATTATTTATAATCAGAAAAAATTAAAGCAAAACTATAAGTACTTATAAATATTACCAAATAGTCAATATCCTTCTTATAAAAAATGACATGAATTAGAACTACTAAGAACATTTGGGTAAAAGGCTGAAATAGTTCATTAAAAATAAAAAATGGCTAACATCTGAAAAACATTCAAATGTACTGTTATATGAGTAAAGAGCTTTTACAGAGATACTATTTCCTTTATCAACGGAGGAAAAATTTCTAAATACTGGAAGCCATTTAAGCATCCCACATTAGGAAAATATAAAAATAGGGACTTATTCATATAAAGAACTTGAATTACCATTAAAAAGGAATTTAGGATGCAAGAAATGCACAGAACAATGTTAAAGGGGAGAAATGAATTAGACTGGTGTGTGTACATTGTGAGCTCAAATATGTAAAGTGAGATGTATATAAAAAAGGAAATGGAAAACGTTAACATCTAAGTAAAAAAACTGAATTTTCCTATCTTTGCACTCGGGCTGCTCTGCGACAAACATTACCTTTACAATCAGAATTTTTTGAGTGATGAAATAATTTTATCCCCTCTCAAAAATATGAGCCCCCAAGCCCAAGGGATTTTATAAATTATATTAAGGATATGTGCATTCTAATAAAAATATTACAGCTTGTTCACAATAGGGTAGAGGGAGTATGAATCTAATTCACCAAGGCTTTTAAAGAGGGCTTAGTGTTATTATTTTTGACCAGCACAGGGCACCACACATTTTAAGTACGAATGAATTTTAAAATTCAAATAAAAATATTTTATAATAAAATAGTTCAAGTGCAAGTTTCAACCTGCTTGGCTTATTGGTGTTGCTGGGAGGGTTTCACTTGTTTCCAACAGTGTGGATGTTACGTTTTTGTTTTTTTTTTTTTTTGAGACAGAGCCTCAAGCTTGTCACCCTGGGTAGAGTGCCATGGCATCACAGCTCACAGCAACCTCCAACTCCTGGGCTCAAGCGATTCTCCTGCCTCTGCCTCCCAAGTAGCTGGGACAACAGGTGCTCGCCACAACAACCGGCCATTTTGGGGTTGCAGCCATCATTGTTGTTTGGCAGGCCTGGGCTGAATTCAAACCTGCCAGCTCAGGTGTATGTGGCTGGCGCCTTTGCCACTTGAGCCACAGGTGCTGAGCCAGATGTTATGTTTCTTGATTTTTATGTCATTTCAAAATTTTCACAGTGACCCATGATTATAGTAACAGGAAAAAAAAACTTAAGGCTTATGTCTGAATGAACTTCGTTTAAAGAAAGTCTCAACCTAAGAGCTCTCAGCAACACAGGAAACCAAAATTAAAATCTGCTGACAGCAGCAATCACAGCTCGAGATATGGGACATTTAGGTGTTTGTGTTTCAGTTTTGGTTTCTCTTTTATTAGTGTTGGATCCAAACTTACATTGAAGTAAACTTAATTGCTGCTCACTAACCTCATGTTTTCCTCTCTCCCAAGCCTTAGTAGTTTACACTCCCCATTAGCCTTCTTCCTAGTCTTTGTTTTGGAGGTCTACTTCCTAGGATTCTTGCTGCGAAGCCCAGAATTTCTTATCTGGCTCAGATGGGGTTGCTAAAGCTGACATTCTTCTTAAGGAAAAGCAGCAACTCCAACTGGTGAGGACCCTCTCTTTAGTTCATAGCCACTTTCTTTCTCCCTCCTAGCCTATCTGTCCCTCCTGAGAAAAATCTCTCCAGGCAGGCTCCTGGGTGAGGTGATCTATACTCAAGTATAATTCTGGGTATTTTCATAGCATTCTTTATTTTACATAATATGCCCACAGACATCATTCCACCTTGATATCTTCATTTTGTGGATGAAAAAGCTCACGGTTAGGTGATTTGCCCTAGGTCTAGACTCCAAAACCATCCGATGATAGGAGTAAGACAAGAGCCTAGGTCTCCTAATTTCTGCTAGGAGCTATTATCACTGTACCAAACTGTTTATATGAGCAAAAGGGCAATGAGTTGATGGACTATTTTTCTCTCCCTGTGAAGTTATATTAATTGTTATATGCAGAATTCTTAGGACATTGTGATATCCCTTCCCAAATTCATATGTTGAAACCTAAATCTCTATAATGTCATGGGTATTTGGAGGTGGGGCCTTTGGGAGGTAATTAGGTCTTGAGGATAGAGCCCTCAAGAATGGAATTAGTGCCCTGCAAGAAGAGAAACTGGAGAGATGACCTATCTGTCCCTAGCCATAGGACATAGCTAGAAAGTGGCTATGAACTAAAGAGAGGGTCCTCTCCAGACACC